ACATGGTGGCTCAGAGGGGCCACATTCCTCATTCCTGAACTTGGGGTGGCAGTGGAGTTGGAGAGAACCTGCAAGAGTCATTGGTCTGGGGTCTGCAGGGGCAGCCTAGAGAAACAGGGAGCCCTCACCCCATTCCTGGGGCTGCAAGGGCTAGGAATTTGGGGTGGAACCAGGCATGAAACAGTCCCCCTGCAAACACATGTGGAGGCTGCAAGCTGATTGTCAGAGCCCATGGGCTTCTCTGCCACCCAACCTGGCTTTGCCCAGGTGCCTGGCTTCCTGCCCTGATGAGATTGGAGGTTTGGGGCTCAGGCTATTCCCAGGTCCTTGGCCACAGGGAGAAGATTCCAAAGACTCTGGGTAAACAACAGCAGTCAAGTGGTGTCCTTCCCAGACTCCTAGGGTCACCTCTACTCCTTAAGGTTTCATTGACTTGGTAGAGACTGCATCTCAGAAATTTAAAAACTTTTTATTAGAGTAAAATTTCAAACATGAACATATCTTTTGAGGGAAGCCTGCGGCCCCCCTCAGACCCTGGCCACAAGGTGAGAAACCGCCTGCCCCAGGACCTCCCTGCCCTTGAGCCTCCTTTATGGAAAGGCCCTTCCCCACCCCTCTCCCCATGCCCTCCAGGGCCTCTCCTTCTCCTGAAAATCATCTGCCGCACGTGGAAAGTTCTTTGCAGTTTCCTAGGAAATTTCCACGTTAATAATAACATACACTATCAGGTCCCAGCTAATGAGTGGGGAGCTGGGAGTCAAACCTGGCCCCTAGAGCCCAAAGTCCGGGCTTGTCTGGAGAAGATGGCACAGCCTCACTGGGGGTCTGGCAACAGCCTTGTGGATTAGGAATCGTTTCCCTTCTATTGTTGGGGCATTAACTGACTAATTAATTACCTTAACTCATGGATGTTTTCTGAGTACTGCTGTGAATGAGCTGAGTCCCAGGAGAGAGGCAGCAATGGACAGGAGGTCAGAGGTTAGCTGAGTTTTTCTGAGGGACAGTGTATGTGTGTGTGTGTGTTGCAGGGAGCACGTGTCCCAGTGAGGGTGGGAGGAGAGTGGGGTGTCCAGCCAGCTGGGCCCCTGGCCACCCCCTAAGCTCCTTTTTCCTCCCCCTACAGGTGTGGTCTTTCCTTACCAGTCCCCCAACGGGCGCTATCGGCTCAACTTCCATGAGGGCCAGCAGGTCTGTGCTGAGCAGGGCGCGGTGGTTGCCTCCTTTGAGCAGCTCTTCCGGGCCTGGGAGGAGGGCCTGGACTGGTGCAATGCGGGCTGGCTGCAGGACGCCACGGTGCAGTACCCCATCATGCTGCCCCGGCAGCCCTGCGGTGGCCCGGGCCTGGCACCTGGCGTGCGAAGCTACGGCCCCCGCCACCGCCGCCTGCACCGCTATGATGTATTCTGCTTCGCCACTGCCCTCAAGGGTGAGTGGAATGGCCAAGGCCAGGCCTGCGGGTTTGGTGGCCATCTAGGACCTGTGGGAGAGCAGCTTCTGGGGAGCTCTGGCCCCCTCTGCTGGCTCTGCTGGCACTGCCACCTGGAGGCCAAGAGCACTAGCCACCCTTGAAGCAGCGTCTGGTTGAGTTTCGAGTGCTTTGCTGCTGCTGCTGCTGCTGCTTTATGCCGATCATTGGTTTCTTCATTCATCAAATATTTACTGAGTGCCTACCATATGCTAGAGCCTAGACTAGACTCCGGGGAATCACAGACAAATAAAACACAGCCTGTCTTCACAAAGCAGCTCATTTCACAGGAAGATGAGCAAGTAAAACCGAAACTGGTTCAGTGTCATATGCCAAGCCCTTGGAAAAGTGTCTGACACATAGTAGGCGTTCAGTAAATGACCGAATGGGCGAGAAACCCTGACTGGTCCAGCCTAGGTGGGGTGTCCACCCAGGGTGCAAATAGGGAAGGGTGGTGGGGGAGTGCAGACGTGACTGGAGGGACCCGGGTTCTATGGCAGGTGGGACGGAGCTTTCTGGGAGAGGGTGAAGATCAGGAAGTGTTCTCTGCAGATGCCTGCAGTATGGTAGCTCCCTGGGCTCAGATGGGTCTTTGGGGCTGGCATCTCTGCAGGCCCCGCTGTGCTCTCTGGCTGCCCCCTGTGCTGTCTGGCACTCATGCCCCCTTTCCCCCAGGGCGGGTGTACTACCTGGAGCACCCTGAGAAGCTGACACTGACAGAGGCAAGGGAGGCCTGCCAGGAAGATGACGCCACAATCGCCAAGGTGGGACAGCTCTTTGCCGCCTGGAAGTTCCATGGCCTGGACCGCTGCGACGCTGGCTGGCTGGCAGATGGCAGCGTCCGCTACCCTGTGGTTCACCCGCATCCCAACTGTGGGCCCCCGGAGCCTGGGGTCCGAAGCTTTGGCTTCCCTGACCCACAGAGCCGCTTGTACGGTGTTTACTGCTACCGCCAGCACTAGGACGTGGGGCCCTCCCCTGCCGCATTCTCTCACTGGCTGTGTATTTATTGAGTGGTTCGTTTTCCCTTGTGGGTTGGAGCCATTTTAACTGTTTTTATACTTCTCAATTTAAATTGTCTTTAAACACTTTTTTACTATTTTTTTGGTAAAGCAAACAGAACCCAATGCCTCCCTTTGCTCTTGGACGCCCCACTCCAGAAATCTTGCCTGCTTCCCTGGGCCATTTGCGGTTTTGTGGGCCTCTGGAGGGTTCCCCACCATCCAGGCTGGTCTCCCTCCCTTAAGGAGGTTGGTGCCCAGAGCGGGCGGTGGCCTGTCCAGAATGCCACTGGGAGTCAGGGCACGGTGGGCACAGTTCTCCCTGCCCCTCAGCCTAGGGGAAGAAGAGGGCCTCGGGGGCCTCCAGAGCTGGGCTTTGGGCCTCTCCTGCCCACCTCTACTTCTCTGTGAAGCTGCTGACCCCAGTCTGCCCACTGAAGGGCTAGGGCTGGAAGCCAGTTCTAGGCTTCCGGGTGAAATATGAGGGAAGGGAGAAATTCCCCTCTCCATTCCCCTCCCCCTTTTGGTTCCAAAGAATCTGTTTTGTTGTCATTTGTTTCTCATTGTTCCCTGTGTGGGGAGAGGCTCTCAGGTGTGTGTACTTTCTTTGGACAATAAATGGTGCTATGACCGCCTTCCGCCATCCCCAGTCCTTTTCTGTGTTTCCATCTCATTTGGTCTCAGGGCGCAGGCCCCTGCCTGGTGGGTGTGGTGGGGGCAGTTCTAGCCCAGGCTTCGTAGGTTGGCTGGGTCAGGTCCCTGGGGTGAACAGGGAACTCTGTGGGCTGGTTCTAGCCTTGCCTGCTCAATGGTTCACCCGGTCCTGGGTGCTGGCCTAGTGGCAGAGGACCTGGCTTGTGTCTTCACCATCCCCACCCCTTGGCAGTGTGTCTGTCTGTGTGAGGCCCAGCAGAAGAGTCAGAGGTGCCTCTCAGAAGACAGAGGAAGCTGTGGCCCTCCAGAGGACCTCAGAGGCCGGGGATCTAGGGGCCAGTGCTCCGTGTGCCTCACCCTTTGCCACCTACTCCCACCCTCGCCTCAGGGAACTTGTTGCCTTGCGCAGGAACGCCTCTGCCACTCACCAACCAATTATTCATTCAATCAGTTCTTCCCTTAGCTCAGTGCTCCTCATAATGTGGTTCACAGCATCAGCATCACTGGGATCTTGTTAGAAGTGCAAATTCCTGGGCCCCACCAGAGACCTGCTGAGTCAGAAAGTCTGGGGTGTGGACCTACACCCTCTGTTGTCACCAAGCCCTTTAGGTGATTCTGATGCATGCTTAAGTTTGAAAACCACTGACAGTTGCATCACCAACTAATCAGTTCATTAATAGTTAGTTAAGTAATGGTTGAGCGCCTACTATGTAACCAGTGCTGTACACTCTACTTTGGCCCACTGTTCTTTCTAGAGGTAGAGGTACAAGTATATATCTACGAACAAACAACTGTACACACGCCCACACCTAAAAAGATACCAGGACCCAGGAACTCACACTGGCATGCATGAACCAACACATACACACATTCACAAAGGCTCAATGGCATGTCCAGCGACTGTGATGAGGGAGGCGTCTGAGGAGGTGGCACTGGTAGAAGGACATTGCCTGGCATGCATGTGCTGGCTCAACTCTCAAGGTTTGTTGGGGGAATCCGTAAGCAATTGGAATTGTTTTCATTGCTTTCTACAATGTACTTTTTCTGAGACAAAGTCTTGCTCTGTTGCCCAGGCTGGAGTGCAGTGATGCAATCTTGGCTTACGGCTCACTGCAACCTCCACCTCCCAGGTTCAAGCAACTCTCCTGCCTCAGCCTCCTGAGTAGCTGGGATTACAGGTGCATGCCACCATGCCTAGCTAATTTTTGTATTTTTTTAGTAGAGACAGGGTTTCACCATGTTGGCCAGGCTAGTCTTGAACTTCTGACCTTGTGATCCACCGGCCTTGGCCTCCCATAGTGCTGGGATTCCAGGCGTGAGCCACTGTGCCTGGCCTCTATAGCATACTTAAGGGCAGAATGCCCAGACCTTTTTGCTAGTAGCTGGCCCGCAGTTTACCCTGCAAATGTGTAAGCAAGATTCACTGTTCCCAGACTGTTTGCAGTTTGTTTTTCCCTTCCCTTCTTATAAATCCTGATTTTTGTCTCTGTTCTTGGACTCAGTCTACCAACCTACCAGAGCAGTGTGATCACCAAGAACCAAAGCACGCAAGGTGACCAGATGTCTTGCTTGAGTGGTTCTTTGGCAGTGCCCACTTGTAAATCCATATGGTACCCACTGACTGACACATGTCACACATATCACATGTGCTTACATGCAGATCATCTACCAAACACATTAGCACCCTAGGAAAAATAAAGCACAACGGATGTGACTGTCCCAGGTGCTCTGAACAGACCAGAGTCACAGAGTCACACCAATTTGAGATCATTTGATCAAAACCTGTCTCCACTGCCACCATTCCTAAGAGCCCCTTTGGGGGACTCTGGGTCATGATTGCCTTCTTCTTAAATTAAAAAAGGGAAAAGAAAAGAGATAGATCTCTTCCAAGGTCTTTATTATTATTATAATATCATAATCTTCAGTTTTCAAAAATATAAATAGGTGCACGGAACCCTGGTGCCTGCACGGTCCCGGGGGCGGGGGTGGGGAGGGGAGAAGGCTGGGTGGCACCCCCACTGGGCAGGAAGTGCCCCCAGCAGCCCTGCCGAGTTGCCACCTGCTAGGGTGGCAGACCCAGGTGAGAGAGAGGACACTGGAAGAGGGGCCCTTGGAGGGAACCAACCCCCAGGCAGTGGAAGGTCCCTCAGATGGCTCTCCCCCGCCGGCTTACCCTCGGCAGGAGGCAGGAACCCGCCCCTCTCCCCCAAGGCTTCTCCCTCATATAGATGGTGCAGCCCTCCTGGCTCCTTCTCATCCAATACATTCAGCTGCAGTTCGGAGTTCTTCATGCTGTCAGGCCTCTGCCCCTTCCAGCTCCTTTGGAGCCCTCCTCCCTCCTCCCTAGCTCTCCCTGGAGGTGAAATAACCAACGATTGCACTGCTCTTGGATAAAGTCAGGAAACAAAAATAATCTTCTTTATTTAACTTAACCCCTCCCCTTCTCCCCCTGTCCCTGCACTGGTCCCTGGAAAGGCACGATGGGAGATTGAAGAAATGTCTCTAAACTCAGTCCACGGGTTATAATAAGTTTGCTTTGCTTTGGCATTCGGCGGACAAATTAGATGCGGTTTTGCTGATTTGGAGGGGTGAGTGGGTGCATACACAATGTGGGATTTATTTTTTTCCTTCTTTAATGGGATTCCTTATTGACAAAAAGCGACAAGAAGAGGACACCATCTGGGTGGGATGCACGTCAGCCTGGCAGGCTCCTGGGCTCAGCGTCCTGGGTGCGTCCTGGAAGCTCTTCTCAGTGGGCCGTGCTGGGGCGGCTCCTCCGAGGGTGCCGTGAGCTCCGCTTCTGTAGTCTGCGTTTGTAGGCGGTGGCTAGGGCGAAAGGGAGATGGAAAAATATCAGTGGGCCTGGAAAGAAAGTGGGGCGAGCCTAGGCTCTCCCCAGACTATCCTCTCTCCCTTGTGGAAACCGGGGACTCAGGGAGGCACCTGAGGCTTTATCAGCTTTCCTGATTTTGAGTTTTCTTGGACTTTCTCCCTTTTTCTCCTGCATCCTCTCAGTGAAAGTGAGCCCTCTCCTGGGACAAGTACGTGGCCCTTCTAGGGGCAGCGATCAGCTATTTGTGACTGAGCAGCCCCCTGACCTCCCCTCCCTTGCTCAACCTTGTGGATGGTGCAGGGTCCCCAGGAGCGGGGACGGGGGGAAGGCTGTGCTGGCAGAATCTAACCCTGTGCTCAGCGAGGGTGGCCGGGGTGATGCTTACCGTCTGTGCAGGTGATCCGAGGCTCCTCCCAGTGCCCGCTGGGTTGGCACCGGATGGTGGGCACGTGGCGCTGGACAAACCCCTCTGTGCACTGGTACCGCACCAGGGAATTGATCTCATACCGGTCCTTCTTCTGCCCGAAGGTCCTGGCATGCTGCACCACAGGGGGCTCTCCACAGGCCACTGGGGGGCAAACACCCTTTATAAAGGGTCTCATAGGGTCTCCTGGGATGACCTAAACTGGCTGTGACCCGAGGCACTGTGGGGGACACAGCCTCAACACCTGACAGTGAGCCCTGGATGTTTTCATACAGCGCTAGGAATCTAGAAGCTGCTGGCTCTAACATCTAAGTGGTTCCTCAACAACTTAAAACAGCAGGAAGGGAATACAAATGGGGTGGTCTTTAAAGGGATGAAGAGAAGATGAAAGGGAGGTAGAAAGGTGTGGAGGGCGAGAGCCAGGCAGACTTAGGCTTCTTGATGAAAACATCCAGTTCAGGGTAAAATGAGACCAAAAGGAGGCCTGGGGGATGCAAGGTGATGAGCAGGGTCAGTGGGGCGCATCCTACCAGCACCTCAATGTCCATAGACTGAAAGCCAAGGGATTGAGGCCTGACAACTATGACTCTGTGATTGATGGCCTTGGGAATCCTAAAGACAGGGAGGCTCCCCACCTCAAGCAGAGTTGCCCTTGTGGGTAACTCTGCTGCTGCTATCCAAGGAACTGTGTGGAGTGTGGAGTGGGGGTCCTGTCTTCTAGCCTGTGACCTTCATGTGCTCGTTGTCCCTGCAAATGGTCCCTGGCAGCAAGCTTGCCCTTGCCATTGGCCCTGGGATGCTGGTGCTAGGAGGGACCCCCAGGTCAGCTCCAATTTGCTTTTTGGACAGGTGAGGAGACACCAGCAGCCAGGAGACAAGGGACTCACCCCAGGCCACACAGCAAGAGCCTCACCTGTAGCTGGAGGTCTTGATCCTATCCTCCCCAGACCCCTCCCAGGCCCCAGCTTACCTGTGCCCTTTTTACACGTGAAGGGGAGGTGGTAATTGCAGGGAACATCATTCCACTCGCCCTTCTCGTGCCAGATCATCACCACACAGTCCTCTCCAGCGGCAAAGAAGTTGTCAGGCTGGTTGGGGCGCCAGTTCTCAAATTGCTGTGGGTGGGAGTGGGGAAGGAGTAAGGAGCGGGCAGGACAGTGTGGGTTGGCCTGCTCCGACTGTCTTCCCCATGGAGCCTCTTCATCGTCTCCTTTCTCTTTTAGCCCCAACTTCAGGCTCATCTAATAGCAGCACAAAGGCTGCTGGGAGTCTGGTCAGGGCTGTTCTAGGGGCCATGGAACCCGGTGGCTCCCTAGAGAATCGGTCACACAGCCTGACTCGGGTCCTTCTCAGGAGCTCAGAACCCCCAGGACTCACAGGCCTGTACATGAGCTGATTCCACTCCTCTTATCCAGAAGGGCCAACCAGGGCTGACCACATTGGGTAGGGATGGATGGTAGGAACATGGCTCTTAAGTCTGGCCTCTGCCCACCAATAAGTCCTCCCAAGGCTTATCCTTCCAGCTTTGCTTCAGGACAAAGAGAATCACTGGGTGCCTGTACCATTCACTTCGCATCTATGTTGCTTTCTGTCTGTCTCCTTGAGTAGACTCGAGTCCAATATGGGCAAGAAACCTCTCTAAAGCTTCCGTGTACTCCTCATGGTGGTGGCTATTATTCCTTCATCTCCTTCCTGGCTCCTTCCCTTGCCTCATGCCGTCATTGGCTCAATCTGTCCAGCCCCGGGCTGGGTTCCAGAGGCAGAGATGAAGGAGACAATCCCTGCCCTCAAGGGCTCCCGGTCTAACAGCCGGTCAGTGAGTGTCTGCATGGGGTTTGAATGCATCTCTCTCCAGGGGTCTTTATCCCACACCCTGTCCTCTGGGTCACCAGCTGTGCCTACAGCAGAACTCACCATGGGGTGTCCATCTGACCAGCGGAAGTCCCCTTCGATGGTCCTGTCGTTCAGGCCGATCCACTGGTAGTCTTGGGCATTGTCTGGGGAAAGGGTGAGGGTGTCAGGCCTCACACTCTACACGCTGGGGTGTCTGAGAAACTTGAGCTCATGGAGGCAGAGGGGATGGAGGAGGGAAGGAGGTAGGTGGGCTCCTAGGAGCAAGCCACCTGCTTCTCAGGTCCTCACAAGGGGCTCAGCATGTGCATGCTTGGAGTGCACTTTGGGCCACCTCTCTAAGCTGGCATGGACAGGTGACAGCCACAGCTTAGTTTTGGGCTGACTCTGGCTGGCATTGGGTCTGCCCTGGGTGCAGCCAGAGCTACTGGCCCCAAAGACCGCTGTCTTCTCTCTGAGAGCTCAGACCTCCCCCAGGTCCCTGTCCCGCAGTCTCACGAGGCCCAAGTCTGCTGCCTTCTGAAAGGTGAGGCCCTTTGCCTACACCACCACTCTCCTCTCAGGCTCCAGAGGCCCTGCTGCACTCACTGTTGACAAATTCCTGCTCCTCGGGGGTGACGATGCTGCTCAGGTGTGACTGCTGCTCCCGACACCGGCGCTCAGCATCCACCCAGGTCTCACGGTCTGGGAAGTGGCGGTAACAGTGGCCCTGGTACTTGGTCCAGCCCTCTTCACATACCTCCTGGTCTGCAACACAGGTCAGAGGCTTGAAGGGAGGGGCAGAGGCCACCAGAGGATGGCAGATGCTGCTAGTCTTGTGGCATAGGTTCCTGCATTCACCCCCCCTTCAATGCTGTGCCCTCAAGGGAAGGGAGAGGCACAGCTGGAGGGGGTTCAGGTTGGAAACTGGTCTGGTCCCTGGGAGCCTCTGCACATGCTTCCACTCTGGAAAATGCCAGGGGCCCTTTCCTTCCCTGATGCCACGCCCTCCCCGCTCACCCTCTCCCAAGCTTTCCTCCTCTCGATGCCTGCTCTGGTGGGCCAGCAGAGGTCAGCAGGCCAGGTACAAAGAGGTGGGAAGGTGGGAGGTCTTGAGATTTAAGGCAAGATTTGAGGCTCTGAGGGGCTCCAGGGAGAGAGGGAGTGGAGCTGTGGGGAAGTTCGTGGAGGCAATGGGAGCTGGTAGCGCTGGGGCATGAAGCGGAGCTGGCAGCTTCCTTCCTGCAGAACCTCAGTGGGAACAGAAGAGCAGAAATAAGTCTGCTTGGGGTCCAGAGAAGACTCAGAGCTCTAAGGCTGTTGATCAGAGGTGGCTTTAGTTAAGCACACTGTGCCTGCCTCTTGGGGCAGTCAGATAGCCCACTGGGGGTCTGGGATCCAGGGGCCCTGGCTTTTTATTTTGGGGGTGAATGGGAGGAGGGGAGGAACTTCTCTCCTCACAAACCTAAATTTGTAATGGGTTCTCAGTCTGGAAAAGGGGCTGGCTTGGAGTTCTTGGAGCCTGGGGATAGGCAGAACCGTGCTGAGCTGGCTCACTCAACTTTGAGAGAGCTCATTCTTAGTGTCTCCTCCCAACCTCGCCTTCAGTGACATCATGTTGACAGCTTTAAACTGGCTCTAGTGGAAGCATTTATACCTCAGGAATTGGCAGATGCTACAATCAGGGCTCCCTTCTCCTCTATGAGAGCTGCTTGTTAAACATCTGCCAGCACAGCGTGGGACAGAGTGAATTCCAAGGCCCCCCTTCTTCCTTCTTCCCCTGGGGTCTCCTAGGTGGAGGTCCACGAACCCCTCAGGCTACATGGTGGTCTCCCTGATTGGGTGCCACCATAGTCTGGCTGTCCTGGAATGGAAGGACCAGTACCCGAGCCGAAGGAGTCTTAGGCTGAAGGGGCGGATGCTTGGCAAAGTAGGGGAGAGACAGTTGGGACAGTGGAGGGAGAGCAGAGCAGGGGGGTCAGCAGCCTGAGAAGAAAGAGCAGAGCTGTGGGATGGGCCGTGGAGGCCTCTGGTGCCTCAGCTACGAACGTCTTCCCGAAGGGATGAGGCTGCAGTCTGGAAAGAGGTGGAGAGGCCTCAGAGTAGCTCAGCACTCTGAAGAGGCCAGACATATCATCTTAGAGCTGACTTAGGGGGTCAGTTTTTGGCCCCTTCCGTGGCTGAGGGCTGAGCTGGGCAGGCAGCTCTGGGAGGTGGGTATGGGAGGGCAGGGCTGTGCAGGCTGAAGGTTCTTAGGAAACAGAAATAATTCCAGGGAGGCTGGAAGAGGCAGCAGGGACAGAGCCTGTGGAGTGGTGAGGACTCAAGATTGGAATGGGAGAGGAGATGCAGCCCTGCTTAGCTGGGCCCACAGGCCCAGGGCCAAGCTGGGTGGCTCTGTCACCATCTCTCTTCCCCATCAGGGTACAGAGCCCTATGAGGGTCCTGCCTCATTCCAGCAGAGCACACTTCCATAGTCTGGAACCAAACGGCTGTTGTCGGCATGGAAGTCTCAGACTCTTCTACTCTGTGGCAAATGTTTTAGTATCATGGGGAGAAAATCCTTGTAGTCTCTGCTTCCATCCCAGCCAAGACCCCATATACCAATTTCTTGAGGTCTTCGGGTGAGGATGGAGGGTGGGAGGCTGCAAGGGAGTAGAAGTGTCCAGGCTTTTTTTCCCAGAAGCCTTAAATTCATCTACCAGTTTGTAACCTTGGCAGTGCCTCAAAGGAGTATGAAACCCAAAACTACCCCTCCCCACACTGCTTAGGACCAAAGGGAGACTTCCCAGGAGTTTCAGCTGCTTTCTGGAAGTTTCTGGGAATCCAACTTGAGAGTTTATTGAAAAGGGTTTTAAGCCCCTACATACTTCCAGTTCTCTCTGGGCCATTGAGACAAGCATCCAAAGGTCCCATCTCCCCTTTTCTGAGCTGGAAAACCCCCGAGATCCAGGAGGCTGGTGGGGAGACTA